GACCCGGGAGTGGACGGTACCTCGATGCTGCGGTCCAGCTCGTGGGCGGCGGCTGCGGACGCCACGGCTACGGCCACGGCTGCCGAGGCCGCCACCCGGCCCTGCTTGTCCTTGGGCTCCTCCTTCTTGTCCACGGGCAGGTTGATGAAGTCGGGGGCGGCCACCGGCTGGACGTACTCCGCCGGGAATATCCCCGACCTGCCGTGGATCGCTCCAAACTTCCAGCCTTTTCACAAATAAACACATTTCACTCCAGACGTGCAAAGAGAAGAAAGGGGAAACAGACCACAAGAAGTGACACTTCATGCAACTCGGCGTCACAAGGGAATTCATTTCATGGTTCCAACACTCCAGTGGGCTCGTACTTTCACTGGGATGTGAGAGCTATTCATCATAAATATTCACTCTAATGATGCACAGCTTCTGGGACTCTGTACTAATGTGCCTCGTGTCATGACAGCCCTGACATCAACAGCAAACCAAACAGTGAACAACATATGGACTCAGAGGTGCCCTTAGTTGGAGTATGTTTATTAAAAAGCAGTGAGCATAAAGCTACATGTTCATAGTTCAAGTCTAAAAAGCATTTCTAAAGTAAGTTGTGAAGTAGCCCTCATTCTTTGAGAATTGCATTTGTTATAAAGGTATTCCGATGGACTTCACTCCATGTTGCAGCTTAAATATCAAAGCTCCATATCATAATTAGTTCTTCTTACTCGTGATTCAGATGTTTTTAGGTTGAGGAGCTTCCCAACCAAAATGATAAAGGAAGACGTGTTACAGTACAACCTTAAAGAACTCGAATAACATTTTGCTTGGACTCATCTGCATAAGTCAATAACATGTACGAGTGTTTGCATCCGTCTGTGCAATGAAACTAGGCAAATCTTTAAGACGCATCCAATCAAAAGTATAAAAGTCAACCCATGCTAACACGGCACACAGACCCACCAAAGTCAGGTGTGCCTTTCTTTAACTCCTCCAAGTTCATCACCTTCTTTCTCACGATGCAGCCATAGAAGTGGCCTGTGAAACAGTGCGTGTTAAGACATGACATTTCACACAGTGCTCGTGATGTAGGCACGGCAGCCACACTCTCTGGTTTAATGGCTAGGGAGGGACTGGAGATGAAACTGTAGTTAGAGCTCACCTGCCTCCAGACCTTCCATTGGCTGCAAACGGATGATGTCACCCTTATGGAAGCTCAGCAGAGTCCGGTCATCTGTAACGTAATTTCTCACGGCAACCACATAGTCAGAATCCTGGACCAAGGAAGGTGAAAATGAACTCTACTGTATCTTGAAAGATACAGTTTGGACCTTTTATTCATGTACGCCCAATTAGAGTTTCGTTTAGAGTTTCCATACTCACAGGCTGTAGTCATTTCTATTCCAGCATTAAGGAAATTCATTAACAACTGATTACAGACATTTAAAGTGATATACAGTATGCTGTGTTAATCAATCATGTTCTTATAATTTATAAATTAATTAATAAATTAATAAATGCCATATACCTCTGTTTCTCTTGTCAGCATGATGTATTAGATAGCAACACTTTCAATAAGTAGAGTCATGAATTGTTTCCTTTTCACAATCAAATCAGCTTATGCTTTCTCTTCATATAAGGTACATTCTCTCACCTTCTTCAGCTCTTTGATGAAGTAGTCAATCATAGATTTGACCTGAAGAGCTTTGGATGAAAAGAGAATCAACTTTTCGTTCGTCAGGTTGAACTCCAGCATGTTCTTTGACGGGATTGTGACAAACATGATGTCAGTATAGCTGGGAGAAAACAAACAAACACGTGAGACAAATAAGCTGACAACGGACATCTGCTTTCTGTTGCGTCTTGGAGTCAAGGCCTAACTGGTGGTGAGACTGAGACAATTCACGTATGGTATTAGGAACATCTCACACTTGACAGGTACTGAGATTGGACCATGGCCACACATGGGCACCTCCAGCTTCCAAGCCATACAGTGCCACTCCACATGAAGAGGAGAATTCCACTATGCCAAAAGGCCAGGCCTCCTGCTAAGAGATACACCAGATTCCATGGGAGTGGCCACCTCTCTGCTTTTGAAACTTTGCAGGAGTAAAGAATTATTTCCAAAGAAATTACCTTCTATGAGATTCAAACATTGCGCATTTATCATACTGTAGAGTACAGTATATCCAGTGGTAACTCTCTGGTCCACTTAAAGGGGAACTGCAGTCCCAGTTTCCCAGAACGGTTATTAAATCTTGGTAACAAAATACATTTTATTGATGTTATCGCAACACATTAAGCACAAAATCATGAACTTTGTGAAAGTACTGCATAGTCTCCATTTTGTTGTAGACCACTGGTCCCGCCGCATGCGAGAGCAAGAGTTCCCACCAATTGCAATGAGATGCTGCTCTTCCTGCTCACTAGTCACTGTACTGACTAATGTAATGTGATGTACGAGTGAATAAGTACAGGTTGTGCAGCAGACATTTCATCTCAGAAATGTTCCCACGTGATCTGCACGCAGGGTAAACAAGATTTGGTTCAACCCACCAAATGGAGACTGGTGTGCCGACAAGCGGACCCTGCTGATGTGGGATTAATGCTAGGAAAGAGAGATTTCTATTGGATTAAAAGAGATGTATTCGCAATGTAATAAAGCCACTTCGCCTCAGTGGAATTTTGTCTATTTTGTGATGTAAATTAGAGGTTTTCACATAATCGTGAACATTTTACTTTCACAGTGGTTTGAAGCACACTCATCAATGCCGATTCCAATTCTGTCTAACCCCGAAATCTAAAAATAACAATAACAATTAATAATTGCTAGCGCTTTTCTGGACACTCCACTCAAAGCGCTTTACAGGTAATGGGGACTCCCCTCCACCACCACCAGTGTGCAGCCCCCGCCTGGATGATGCGACAGCAGCCATAGTGCACCAGTACGCTCACCACACACCAGCTATCAGTGGGGAGGAGAGCAGAGTGATGAAGCCAATTCATAGATGGGGATTATCAGGAGTGTCCCCATCACTGCACTGGGGCATCAGGACCCACATGGACCACAGAGTGAGCACCCCCTGCTGGCCCCACTAACACCTCTACTAGCAGCAACCTTGGTTTTTCCCAGGAGGTCTCCCATCCAGGTACTGACCAGGCTCACATCTGCTGAGCTTCAGTGGGTTGCCAGTTGTGAGTTGCATATAAAAATAGCGCTGCAGTTCCCCTCTACACTAGTTTTGGGTGCTACTGTATTTGTTTCCAGAGCACAGGATGAGTAAGGCCTGTGGCTGGGGGGGCCTACCTGTAGGCCCTCAGGACTCTGAAGTGCTCTGGGGCAGAGGCACTGCTCTTCATCATCTTCAGCAGCTTGATCCCGCTGTGTGAAACCGACAGTATCTGAACACCCGTGCCAACGCTGCCCTGTGTCAGAAGAGGAGGTAAAACAGGGGTGTGATCCAATCCACAATGCCTGCCCATTTCTTTACATTTATTTCCATCATTGAACAAAAGAGATTATATTCACATGCAGGCAAAAATCGATTTCAAATTCCAATAAGACAAAACAAAATCCAGATGTAATTACGCTAAGGTATTAGAAAAATACAAATATCTGTCATGCATGTAAACAGCACATTAGAGAGGCAATGGGTTTCCATTCCTGGTCACGGAAGCCCACCTACCAGTTGGTTTTCATTCCACCTGAGCTTAAACACCTTATTGAACTAAGACATTGCTTAACAGAGTAAATTCAACTTCCTTTTCTACTCAAATGTTTGGGATCTTATTTTGCGTTTGAAATGCAACAGTTAAGTTCAATTGTGAAACTGAGAGCTGGGCAGGAACAAAACCCAGCAGGTGTGTGTGGGTCTGAGGTAGGGCCCGGTACTATGGTCTGAATTACCCAACTTTCCATTTCTGTCACAATCTTAAGAGAACATTTTCATTAGATTCTGCCAATCTCCATCTCGAAGACCAAATTTGGGGAAGCTCATTGAAAGGGTTCTCCTTCAGTAATCTTTAAGAATTCCCCCAGTCTATTTTGGTGACTGCTTTCTCCTTAGAGGGTCCAGGTGAACTGAACACTAACCCAGGTGGCACAGGGCTACACCTTGAATGAGATACAAGCCCAGCACAGCAATTTAGAGACAGAGATTAACCTGCATATCTTTTAACTGTTGGAGGAAACCAGCCCGGTCATAGAAAACCCACATAAAACACAGGGCATTTACATCCCTGTAATCTCCACACAGACAGAGCCAGATTTGACTGCAGGACCTCGGAGCTGTGAAATGATGGCATTACTACGCTGCCATACATGAAAGGTTATTTAATACATCAAACATTATATTACCTTATATGTTGTGCCTCGTGTTATGTTCTGTTGTGTGCTTCCCCAGGGCCTCCTTGTAAACGGCACTGGGTTTCAATGAGCGAATCACTTTCATCCCATCATCCATCCACTCATCCATTCATCCACCCATCCACCTGTCTGTCCATCAGGGCAAGGGGACTCACGGTGGCTGGGAAGAGGCGTGAGAAGTAGATTTCCCAGGAGTCTCTGGCCATGGTGACGATTCTCTTCTTCACACTCTCGTCCTTCACCACTGATCCAGGCTCAACCCCTTCCTCCGCTGTGTGTCAAACAATCAGACCAGACATGCAGCTTAGAGCTCTGAGTACCTCGGGGACTGGGAAAGTGCAGGGGAGACAGATTTCCAGTGCAACTCCAGTGTGACTTTATGCACAGGAGACCCTGACACACAGACCATGGAAGAGGAAGAGATTTTCTTCCTCTTTACTTTAAAGCGTCTGCTCTTTCCATTGCCTGCAACTGTTAACATCGTTAACACTTTACTGGAATGGGACTGCACAAGCCCATCATAACTTCTTCATAAAAACTGCATAGCCTGACATAAAAAAATACACAAAAACGAATGGCAAAACCAGATTGAACATAAATATAACAGGACTGCACTTTTTGTTAATAATAATTAATAATAATTGCTTACACTTATATAGCACTTTTCTGGACACTCCACTCAAAGAGCTTTACAGGTAATGGGGATCCCCTCCACCAC